TGGAGCTTCATGAAGGGGATACCAACAAAAGGTGGGTGGATGGGATGAGTACTTATTTGCACTTTTCAAAACCATTATCCTTTTGTTTGCCAAACGTTTGGCTTGTTCCAGATAAAAAGCTTTCTTGGCCTGAGATTCGTTGACAGTGTTGTCCAGAATCTCTTTTTCTTTCAGGGTTACGAGGTTGGCATGGAGTATGTTACGTTGACCCTATCACCATCTTCCTCTAGTTTTATGATTGTGGCATTTGTGAGTTTGCTTGCTTCCAGAAGATGGTGATCACGCCGGATAGCTCGTTTCTCGGCTTCGTCCATCTTTCCTTTGCCCTTATCCATACCTGCAAATGTTACTCACTAAAATACTAGATGTGTGAGTAAAGTTTGTTGAAGAGGGTTCTGATTTATAGGTGCAAAGGTTGCGTGCAGATGTGTTCAAAAGATTTTAGATGACGATCCTAGGTTTCGTGTTAGAGACGCTTTCAGAAGATTCAAGACATAGGATATCAATAATAAATTTAGATAATAGAAACATGAAATTTATTTATGATAATCATAACCACAGCTTATCAAGGTGACCTAAGATGATTCGTTAGGTCTTTTTCTTCTTGCTGCTAGCTGTGGACTTGAGAGGAGAGGGCAATTTCGGAGGAGTGCTTGATGGTGAGTAGTCGAATCTGTCACTCCTTTCTAGCACACTATCCACCTTGGCATATCCTATGGTGTTGCCAACAGAGTGAAATGATTCATGTAATTCGTGTTCAGTTGGATCACGAAGGAGACTTTGCAGATATTGTGAGCTTGCTAGAAATTTGTTTAGGACGCTCTCGTCTTCTAGAGGATCATGGAAGATTTCAGTTTCTTCTTGTTCCTTATCTGTGATTGTCGTTTTTGCTTCATTTTCTGTGCTCATACCTGCAACCACGAATTACTCGAACATAATTAATTAGAATAAAAGGTTAGAGTGAGTTCATTGTACCATCCATTGTCCGTTTATATAGCTCAAGATCATATGCTATTGCGTGACATATTGGATAAGTTGCTGCCTTTTTTGCTTCCCGAGATATGCTTTATGGAATCTTTTCAGGAATCTCTGGTCTTTAGACTTATTAATACGCCAACGAGTTATGTCAGCTCAATCATTCCAATTTCATGTCGAAGTGTAGCAAATCTATTCTCACATAGTGGTTTCGTGAGGATATTTGCCAATTGATCATCCGTATTAACATATACAAGAGATATGTTCTTCTTTTCAACATGGTCACGAATAAAGTGATATTTGATATCAATATGTTTTGTGCGAGAGTTCAAAACAGGATTGTGCGTGATTGCAATCGCACTTGTATTGTCACACTTAATTTGCACTTCTCATGCTGTTACTCCATAATCTTTCAACTGGTGGATCATCCACAATATTTGTGCACAGCAGCTGCCAGCTACAATGTATTCGGCTTCAGCAGTGCTAGTTGCAATGGAGTTTTGCTTTTTGCTGAACCAAGATACAAGTCTTCCCCCTAGGAACTGGTAGGTTCCTGAGGTACTCTTTTGGTCAATTCTACAACCAGCAAAATCAGCATCTGAATAGCCAGTAAGATCAAAAGAATTTCCTTTCGGATACCAAAGTCCTACACTTTGGGTTCCCTTTAGGTATCTTAAGATCTTCTTAGCAGCACTTAGATGACTCTCTTTCGGTTTGGATTGAAATCGTGCACATACACCAACTGCAAAAGAGATATCGAGCCTGCTGGCTGTAAGGTAGAGAAGTGACCCGATGATCCCACGAAAGTTCTTTTGATCAACATCTTTTCCTTCATTATCAACATCCATTCTCAGGAATGTGCTCATAGGGATTTTAACAGAGGACTTTCCATCAATTCCAAATTTGCGAATTAAGTCCTTTGTATACTTAGCTTGATTGATGAATATCCCTTCTGGACATTGCTTAACTTGCAAGCCGAGAAAGTAGTTCAATTCTCCCATCATGCTCATCTCGAATTTGCCTTGCATAAGGTTGGAGAATTTTTCACATAAATCTGGATTTGTACTTCCAAATATGATATCATCAACATAGATTTGAACTAGTAGGATATGATCATCGTTTTTGATACGAAAGAGCGTTTTATCAACAGCTCCTTTCGTGAAACCACAGTTGATAAGAAAATATGAGAGTGTATCATACCAAGCTCGTGGAGCTTGTTTTAATCCATATAGGGCCTTTTTGAGATGATAGACTTTTTCTTGTCCACAATCAATAACAAAACCTGGTGGTTGCTCGACATATACTTCTTCTTCAAGAAGTCCATTTAAGAATGCACTTTTGACATCCATTTGATAGACTTTGAAGTCTTTGTATGATGCATATTCTAGAAACATTCGTATAGCTTCAAGTCTAGCTACGGGGGCGAATGTTTCATCAAAATCAATTCCTTCTTCTTGACAGTAGCCTTTAGCAACAAGACGAGCTTTGTTCCTAACAATTAGTCCATCTGCACTCATTTTGTTTCTAAAAACCCATTTGGTTCCAATGACGTTTTGATGTGTTGGTCTCGAAACAAGTTCACACACATTATTTCGTTCAAATTGATGAATCTCTTCTTGCATGGCTATCACCCAGTCAGGATCACTCAGAGCTTCCTCTATGGATTTTGGTTCTATTTGAGATAGGAAACATGCCATCATATTCTCATGAATGTTAGCCTGAGTTCTTACACCTTCTTGGATATTTCCTATGACTTGATCAGGAGGGTGGTCTCTTAACCATCCGAGATCGGGTTCAAACGAACCTTGCTGATTCTGTACATCCATTTCAGGAATATAAGGTAGCTCAACATAGATCATAGGTTTAGATGGTGTCTGGGTATCAGGAATATTTTGTTGCATGCCATCACCTTCTTGAGCAAAAACTTCGGGTTCAGAAGGCTTCAACTGATATCTCGTGTAGGAGGATAGAATATCTTCATCGTCTAAAATTTCTTCTTCATTTTTTCTTGAGAGCTTTGATCCGGATTGATAGATGACTTAATGCCAATAGGACTTTTCTCAGATTGCTCATCGAACTTGATCAAGGATCGATTTTGTGTGTAGCATGCTGTGTTTACAGCTTCGGCCCAAAACCGCTTTGGTAAACCCGATTGTGCAATCATTGTTCGTGCAGCTTCTTTCAAAGCTTTGTTCCTTCTTTCGGCTACTCCGTTTTGTTGAGGAGTTCGTGCTGTCGATAATTGATGAAAAATGCCGTTTTGTCCACAGAAATCTTTGATAACTTTGTTAACGAATTCAGTTCCTTGATCGGATCTTATTCTGATAATCTTGACTTCCTTTTCTGTTTGAAGCTGTCTCAAGAGGTTTGGTAGAACAATCTCTGTTTCATTCTTTTTCTTCAAGAAGAGTACCCAGGTATATCTCGTGTGATCATCTACTACAAAGAGAGTATAATTTCTTCCACTTAGGCTTGCTGGATCAACTGGTCCGAAGAGATCCATATGTAGAAGATTTAAAGGTCGAGAATCTGCATCCGAGTTTTTGGATTTGAAGGATGATTTGATTTGTTTCCCTTTTTTACACGCTTCACATATTTTGTGTTTCACATAAGTTGCTTTTGGTAAGCCTTTCACGAGATCTCTTTTGGCAAGCTTGTTGATTGTCTTTAGATTTAGATGACTCAATTTGTTGTGCCATTCTTGACTTAAGTCTGCATTATTCTTAGCAACAAGACAAACGTTAGTGTTAGAAGAATTCCAAGTTACTATGTACATGTTTTTCTTCCGATGGCCTGTTAAGGCAGTTTCACCGTCTCTCGTGCTGATTACATTGCATTTGTCTTTTGAGAATTCAACTTTGTAGCCTTTGTCACAAAATTGACTTGTGCTTAGAAGATTGAATTTTAGCCCTTCAACGTATGATACATCTTGAATGGTTATTCCCTTTTTGATGATGTCTCCTGTTCCACGAGTTTTGCCACTAGTTTCACCTCCAAAGATGACTTTAGGTCCGTCAACTTCTTTGAAATTGCTCAACATTGTTTTGTCACCAGTCATATGTCTTGAGCATCCACTATCAACATACCATATGACTTGTTTATCCTACAAGAAAGATTATACATTTTTAGGTACCCCTTGAGTTACGGGTCCTTGAGGGTTAGATGTCAACTTTGGGATCCACATGAACCTAGAGTTTCCTTGACTCATCCTCGGTCCTCTATATCCATTAGATGTACGATAATCATAACTGATCTTGGCAAAGGTTTTAGCATTATATCTCTCTCGAAAATATTCAGCAGGAGGATTGTGATAATGCTTGAAATAATTAGTTTGTTTAAGCAGATGAATTTTCTCAAATTCTCCTCTTGAAAGAGGTTCTGGGTAATCATACCAATCTTCCTCTGATGGCCCAGTCCATCCATTTCCATAACCAGATCTTTTGAAGGATCTTTCGTTTTGTCTGATTTGTCCATTTCTCGGGATTCCTTGAGTAGGATTCTTTCGTGTAGATTTTGGACGATATTGCCTCTGATTAACATTCGACATTTTCCTAGATTGAATATCCTTATAAGGCTGACCCTTTTTGTGGTGTAGATTTTGTCCATTGCCTATTTGGTCCATTCCTTTTGACATATTTATGTCTAGGATTGCCTTTGAAGGATTTTTCAATTTCAGGTTCCACAATTCGTTGTACAACCTTTCCTTTTGGTTGGCTTGTTGATTGTGGCATAGCGATACTGTTATCTTTCGTCATAGGCTCAGACATCTGGGTAGGGCCTTGAACAAATGCTGATTGAAAACTCTCCCGAGAGTAAGCATTAGTGGATTTGTTCAAGCCGGTTTGTGAAGAGGAGCTGGGGTCAAAACCAATTCCCGTTCTTTCCCCGGGCAATCTTGATCCGTTCACCATTCGGTCCATTAGATTTGACGAATTATTGAATGAATTCAAGGTTTCACGTAATTGTTGCTCTCTCTTTTCTCTTTCTGTACACTGCTCTTTCAGAGCGAGAACATTTTCCTCAAGTTACTTCTTAGCGATGGCTAGCTTTATGTTCTCAATTCGAACTTGCCTTAGCGCATTGTAGCTAATCATAAGCCGAGAGTTCTCCTCTTTCAATTTAGAGTATGTGTTTTTGATTATCTTGAACTCCCTCATCATTTCGGTAACTGATTCATTGGAAGTTTGACTTCTCATAGAACTAGACTCTGCTGAATAACAAGAGAATGATTGTGAATTTACCTCATCATCATCGGCTATAAGGCATAGCTCATCTGACTCTTGGCTGAACAGACACAGCAGCCCTTTTTCTTCTTCAGAACTGTCATCATCTGAACTTGAACTTGAGGAACTGCTTTCGGCTTCAATATTGTCAGATGTTTCGTTTACTACCATAGCTTTCCTTCTTCTTTCGTTTATGGAGTTTGATGATTCTGGCTTGTCATTTCTCTTGTAGTTTTCTCCAGCTTCTTTGGATGGGCTTTTGGTAGTATTGTTGTCTTGGTGCTTACTGACAATTGGATGAGGACAATTCGCCTTGAAATGCCCTAGCTTTCGACAGTTGTATCATAGCAATTGCGAGTCTGATTTCTCTTGCTTTAAGGTTTGAGGTGAAATCTCGTGTTGCCTTCGGTGTCCCGAGCGATGAGAATCTTGGAAGTTGTTCTTCCTCATAAACCTCTTCATTTTCCTAACAAATAGAGCATATTGTCCATTAGAAAGAAATTCACAAGAGTTAGATTTTGACCTGTTTGATGTTGATGCCTGCTGGTTGGCCACAAGAGCTACATTTCTTGTTTCGGGTTCATCAGCATCCTTTGGTTCATGCTCAAACTCGTAGGCCTTAAGATCACTAAAGATCTTGGTTGTGTTTGTGGTCTTCATGTCTCGGTGATCTCTCATTGCTGTGACCTTCATCTCCCAAGACTTCGGTAGGCCACGAAGGATCTTCAGGTTCTTTTCCTTTTCGGATAATTCCTTCCTGAGATCAGACAGATCACTCATGAGCCTGGCGAACCTTAGTTCCATGTCTGTGACAGCTTCATTCGGCAACATCTTGAAATCCTCGAACTTCTTCATGGCCACTGTCAGTTTGTTGTCCTTCTCCTGTTCGTCTCATTCACCCAGGTTCATCAGAACATTCCAGATTTCCATAGAATTTTTGCATTTCCGGACTCTGGGGAACAAGGAGTCGTCGAGAGAGTTGTAGAGAATGTTTCGTGCTACATTATCCAGGTTTGCTCTTGTTCTTTCCTCCGAGGTAAGTTGACACTTCGGCTTTGGTATCATCTGATCAGCACCTGCTCCTTGTGCTGCTGCTTGTGTATTCGCCATCATGATGGTGATTGGTCCTGTGGTTATTACATCCCACATTTCGTCATGTATTGCTAAAAGAAGAGCCTACATCCTGATCTTCCAGTCATCAAACTTGGAGAGGTTAAAAGCAAGCTTCTTCGTATGGTTAGCATGATCCTTTTCCATTTTAACAAAAAGAATGTGCAAAGCTGAAAATATGCAAATTTTTCAGAAAACTTTTGATAAGGGATCTACCAGGCAGTAAACGCAAAGCCTTTACCGATCAAGATATTGGCTCTGATACCACTTGTTGGTCCCGGTAGGGTTATAACGAGAGTCTAGAGGGGGGGGGGTGAATAGACTCTTCTCAATTTTTGCAGAATAGCAACCTCTCGAGGTTGAACGCAGCGGATAAATTAACTTGATTTTAGTTGCTTTGCACAGTTTGAAATTATAAGATAACTTTCGGATTGGACGAATGATCATTCAATGCTGAAAAGTAAAGCACGAAAGTAAAGAGATAAGGAGACGAGAGTTTTTATAGTGGTTCGGCCAACTTTGCCTACTCCACTCTTCTTCCACAACTTATGGAAGGATATGGATTGCACTATCACTCGTTAGTACAAATACACGAAAGCTTCCTTGATCACTAAGCCAGACAGCTTCCTGTAGGTTTTTCAACTCTGCGAGTTTACTCCGCCTCTATCAACGTCTTCTTCAGAGTTGAGGTTGGTAGAAAATATTTTCTGATTTCTCCAACACGGTGAAGTCTTGACTGAATGAGGGATGATTGCTTCGTACAAGATGCAAGACTTCTTCAAGATGGAAGATGCGGATCGATGAATTTCTTTAAGAAATCTTCACGCCTTGAAATTAGTTTGCAAAATCTTGGTAAGAAAGTGAGCTTATACAAGAACTTTTGCTTTGAGAGTAATGATCGAGTGAAAAGAACCAGCACCTTCTCAGTTGATGAAGGTGGGTATTTATAGGTGTGGAAAATTTCATCCGTTGGAGGGAGATGAAATTTCAAACCTATTGTCCAGTGGGTAAGGACCGGGGAGCTTGGCGCAATAAATGCTCCATTAATGCGTGTAACACCCCAAAATTTTAAAACTTTTAAAGCTTATGTAATAAAGGTAGAATCGCATTAAATCCCCAAACACAATACAAAGAGTACGGGGTGCTATGCCACACCTGAGCTGGAGAACTCAGGTGCACAGGCTAACTAGCTAATATTCTTAATAGAGAGAATGCATAACATGGCACGCAGGCCAGAAAGGAAACTATCTACTTCTATGCTCCGAGGTTCTAGCGCGCTCCCGTGCTTACTCTTCTGTGCCTGAAAGCCAAATATATCTGTTCAGCGAGAGATACTGGTAACCCACTCCAACGTGTTGAAATACAATACATATAGATATATACATAGATATACGAAAAGTCATTTCGAAGCATGAAGATATATCCTAAGAGACTCTAGCTTTCAAATCAGGGAACCGACTCGACAAATAGGGGTACACACAATCAACGGTCATAATCAAGCATATACAGTTCTCAACATAGGGCACAGTTATAGATGAGCACAACCAACAATCACGATTAAGCATGTATAGTTTACTAGCAAGAGTCCTATGGTCACGTTTCCATAACAGTCATAACATCAATCCTTCTCATCTCACACATAGCACACTTTGTTGGCGCCACAGGACCAATCGCATGCCCATACATGAGGGTCAGCGCATATAGCTCTGACACGGCCCCGCAGCACCCTGCCCCGTCTCACAATACGGAGGGGTCGATCGCAACCGACCGATGAATCGCAGCTCATCATAGTTTGATCGCAACCAAACAGTGGACCACAGCCCAAGAGTATGTCATCTGACCGCAGCCAGGAAATATGAACCGCAGCTCATGTAGAAACATTTGATCGCAACCAAACGGTGGACCGCAGCCCTATATAATATTTATATACCTGACCGTTCACAACCGGCCTGGTTAACAGTTAGGATGGTTCTCAACCCATCCAACTGCCCGTATAACCAATTTGATCGCAACCAAATTGGGGTAACATGCACACATAACACATAGCAAGTACAAGCAGCCCGCATTAGCACACTGGGAAGGGGAGAAATCGTATAACGAAACCTATGCGTGGTCATCCACAACTAAGAATAGTCCTAAGGGGTTCATACTTCTTACACCTAGGCCAACGGGATACCAATTCAACTAGCATGCAATATACAAGACTCTTTCAACCTACGAATGGTATCTGAACATCAAACTAGACATAGGCACGATGGGAGGGGTCCGTTAGGACACCACGGGGGACGGGGGAACATCAAACGGGGAAGCCAAAATCCCGGGTTGGGGTATTTTCCAGCGGGTAGCCGGTGGGTGAGGGTTCACCCGCCGGCGTTACTGTTCCGGGCAGCGAGTGCCCGGCGGGCAGCTGCCCGCTGCCAGGACTGCCCATCTTGGCCGCGGGTAGGTGGCGGGTCCCCTACCCCCACCTACCCCCCACTGACTCTTCCTCACCAAAAACGCCCTGGGAACCTTAGTGGAACCCGAAGCCATGCTTAGACACTTTCGAACGCAATTGACAACAATACGAAGATAATTAACGGATCACAATCAAGAAACATGCGGCACATATCCTATCATGCTTTTCTAAACATAATTAACACCCAAACATGTGAATCCCCGCCCAATACACCAAGGATAATACCACACGAGTTTCACGGTACAACCTAGGGTTCTAATCCCTTTTAAATCAACAAGAACACAATTCATCTTTTAATATCAAGATTCAGTGAGAATATCAAGAACATCCTACAATTATCAAGAACATCATATAATCATCAAGAACGCCACATACTCATCAAGAACACCATAATTATCAAGAACCTATCATCGTCAAGACCATCAAGAACATCAATGGAATCATAATACCAATTATCAATATAACGAATCATCAACACACAATAATACGGGAAATCCTAAGGGGGGAATCATAGCTATGAAAATAGGTTTTGTTGAGACATGGGTTACCTCTTAGCCTTAATTGATTCCTTGGCTATGAAGGGTCTTTCTTTAAGCTTTCTTCTTTCTTGATTTCTCCTAGGGGAATTCTTGGAATTCTTGGTGTGGTGAGAGATTATTGTGGTGGGAGTTCTAGGTGCCTCCTTATGTTCCCTATTTATATATCTAAGAGTCTTACCTAGGGCCTAATTACTATAGGTTTGCTAACTCTATTCCTTTTAGGACTAAGGATTGGGTTTAGGGATAAGGGCCCATGGACTATGGTGGGCCTCTCCTAATTAATTATTGTGATTTAATTCTTTCTTTTGGGTAATTGGTTAAATGATTAATTTGTTTTAGGGATCGTAACACGGGGTGTTACAATGCGGTTTGTACAATGTAGCCGTTGTAGACATGAACAACCTTGGGGTTTTTGTCTTTTAGCTTCTGAAATATAGTACAGCTTCATCTAATGCTCCTAAGTATATGTGTCTCACACTTTAAGGTCCTTTTGTCCCCATGATGGTTAATCAACACAGACACTTGAGACATTATTCTCGTTATGGGAGAGAATGAGTGTCTTGATAAATCTTCATAAATGTTACTGTCTTGTCGAGATGGTTGATAACCTGAGGAGATCTTTCGTTGTTGAAGCCTTTGATCTCGTGCTCTTTGTCTCTTTTCGCTTTGGCAGACCTAACTAAAGAACATAACTCGTTTTTCATGTGTTTGTCTAACTTAACACGAATTACAAGATGAGTTATGGCATCTTTCGTCTCTAGAACGAAAGCAGGGATGGAAATAACGAAAGTTAGGGGTCTACATTCTAAGTTACATTGGTATCATCAAAATCCTAATATAAGTGTTCCTAACAACATTTTCCCTAGTTTATATGTGATTTAGTTTTCATGTGTAGATATCAACAAAACAAATTAGAGTCTCAATTGTATGGTAATTTTTAATGAGGTGAGTACTACGTAACATTTGGTGGAGTGTACTATACTTTGATAGTCTTTGCATATATGTCTGAAGCCAATTAATTACATCCGTACGCCAATGCATGACTTAATTGGTTGGTTTCTATTGCTTACTCCCATCCATACGCCATGACTTTATTCTAAATTTTATTAAATTTATAATGTAATGATTATTTTGAAATATATTAATTGCATATCAATGTATTTGATTTAGTATTTTAACTGTAGTTGCCCCCCGCACTATGTAATCCTGACTCCGTTCCTGACTGCTCTGTACTGTGTATGAAAATGACTTGTGCTATATATATATATATATATATATATATATATATATATATATATATAATCTTAATATTAATTTATATTTCTCAACCCCACAAAATTTACTCCGACAGATGCATGACTAGGTTTATACTTTATATATATAAATAGAGAAAATTTACAAAATGATCCTCTAACTATAATTTTTTTTTTTCAAATTAGTTCCTTGATTTTTAATTACACCTAAAGTGGTCCTCCGACTATAGAATTTTAAGCCAAAATGGTATTCGTTAACTTTGGTGTTAACCTACCGATAAAAAAAGGACAAAACGGACAATATATATTATTTGATGTTTAGACCTTTGACCGACCCTTAAAAAAAAAAAAACTTGACCAGAGCCCACAGGAATCGCGATCTTGAACTCCATCATCAGCGTCACCCCGACCCCAATCGTTTCCTTCCTGGGACGCCCATGGCGAAAACACGCAAGAACAGTGATCATCAACTCGAAAATCGACGCCCCCATCGCACCGGAGGAATGGTCGCCGTTCCAGGGAACTTTAATTGGGGCCTGGAAGACTGTTGGTATGGCGAGTTTGGCAACACCGGAAAGGGTATATGCGGACGTACACAAGAGAGCCAAATGGGCTGGAATCAAAGGGGTGATAATCACCAAAGCGCAGGCTGACGAATTTGCTCCTGGAAAATTCATTCTAGGAGACACTTGGATCCCTGCTAGTGGTGTGTCATATTCTGCTAAATAACCTAGCTTTACTAGCTTATAATATAATGAGTTTACATGTATTAATTTCAACCCCCTTGCT